GCGTATTTCAGATGATCTTATAGAGAAATCATAATTGCCGGAGACAAACCGAGCTGCGCATTTCTGAATACGTTCGAGTTGTTCAATGGTGTGACGGGTATGTAGATCCCATGCGGCACATGCATATTCCAAAATGGGACGTACATTCGATATGTACAATGTTTCTTTAAGGTTAGTAGGTGCCTGACTAAAATTGCGTCTCAGAAAGTTTAATTTGCGGCTGGCCTTAGATGACAAATAATCAACATGAGCATTCTATGACAAGTTACTAGAAAATAGAACTCCCAGATATTTATATTCAGGTACAACCGTTAAACGTGTGACACCAAGGAAATATTCTGTGGCCAGAATTTGTCTTTTGTTAGAAAATCTGACTACGTTACATTTGTTTAGATTCAAGGCCATATTCCATGTTTGACACCATGACATCACAGAATCGAGATCGTCTTGCAGTATCTGGGAGTCATCCTCACACGTGATATCACGGTATATACAACAATCATCAGCATACAGTCGGACGTGGCTAGAAAGATGACCAGCAAGATCATTTATGAACACTAAAAAAAGAAGGGGGCCCAACATGTTGACCAAGAATGGCCATACGCATCTCTATTACAATCTTAGAAGTTTTTGCGTCATGGTCACTCTTGCTGGGCGCGCTAGAAGGAGGCACCTCTCTAACTACGGCAAAATCACTGAACGAATGTGCAGCTTGTATTTTTTATATTGTTTACTTCGGCATAAGTTAGAGAAAAAGTGCCACCATACCCCAAAATAACTCTATTTCTCTGCGTAATCGCAAAATAAAAAACGCTTTTTTTCCCAACCTGCGGTCACATGGTGTCCGCAAATGGAACCTGTGGTGTGACGTCATTCGGAGTGGTTTTTGTAAGTGATAGTGTTAGGCAAATGTAAGCTTGATTTAAGGTTAAGTTTAAAAAATGTTGTTGTTTAGGCATGCAGAAACGCTTCAAAAGCTTAATATTGCCGCTAAAAGATTTGTGGCGCCATCTACCGCAAGTCAACCAAACCTGCCGTCGCCGTCATCCGTCGACGCCCGAGGCGCCTACGGCGGCCACACGACCAACCCGGACGTTTTGTCTTTCCCTCGCTCGACGGAGTGCCAGGGAGTGCTTTGGTCGTAGTCCGTCGTGGTATCGTTATTGTTCCTGGTGTCTCGACCTCGACTTCGACTGCCCGACTATATGCAAGCATCTTGCGCTCGACGTCGCTTAGGCCGTCCGCCCATGCCGCCATGTTGGTCGGGAATCGACGGGAGAGCGGGAGAGCGGCGAGCCTGGCGAGCCGGCGAGCGCTGGGGAAACGGAAGCCAGAAGCACCCAACCGGAAACCAACGCCACTCCGAATGACGTCACAGGCGAAGCTGGTGCCGCTTCAATGTTGAGTTGAGGGGTGCCAGAGATACCAATTTCTTTTATTTTTTTTAATGAAAACTAGGGCAAGCAGGAAAGAATAGTTTTCGGCCCTTCGTTTTATATGTGGCCGGGATCAATTCCCGCAATTAATTAGCCAAAGTCCGCAAATTGTTGCACCGCCCCTTTAAGCACCCTGTGCTTTCTAATATGTGGAACACCAATGTCAAGAGCTTTTCTGACAGTTGCTAGCACTGACACAGGTGACGAGCACGTTGGCAAACATTGGCGTTGATCGTCTGCAAGCATCTCTGCCTTTCCTCCTAACCACGCGAAAACGCTGCGCATGCGCACTTGCGACCAATCGACGCGGGAGGTGTCCGTCATTTAATTGCAAACGCTCCCCATCACTGGCGTAGGAATTTTTTTCGGGGGGGGGGGGGGGGGGGGGGGGGGCTGGAGGTGGCTGGGATGTCCATGACATGGGGTGCAGAGAGGGGAAGGGGGGTCGGCTGGATTTGGGGGGGGGGGGGGGGGCTGAAGCCTCATAAGCACCCCCCCCCCCCCCCTGGCTACGCCCCTGCTCCCCATGCTTTGAGATGGACGTCCCTCTCTACAATCTAGGCTACGACAACTTATCGAACCCTAAAATATTCTTGCCTATCTTGCATTTTACGTGGAAGAACCATCGCCAATGCCTCCTCGGATGATGTCACGCGACTACTCGCGTAGTTACGTCGGTTACGTGATATTATGACGTCATGGGACACTATAATGTCAAGTGACAGTGTGGTGCCACGTGACATTCTGACGTCACAATACATCATGAAGTCACGTGACAACACAGACGCCCTGCATCATATTGAAGGGGTTAAAATGAGCTCTGTAAAAAGCTGTTTTGCAGATAAAAGAAACCAGTTTGACAGGCCCACCAGAGAGCAACCTTTTCTTTTCTCCCCACGAAAAATCCCCACCCCCACCCCCCACTTCCCATATATTAGGGTATTTCTTGTTTAATATACCAACTAGGTGGCGCAAAAAGCCGCCCTATTGAAGGGGTTTTCTGATCTATACATACGATCCATCCATTCTCGTCACGTGTTGCGTGTTCGCCCATCTATGTGTTCGCCTGTTCGCATCGTCGTCACGTCGTTATGGTGTACTAGAACTGGGCAGTGTGTCGTCCGCGCCGAGAAGCAACGGAGGGAGGAGGTCGGCGCAGCGATGACAGCGAGCAAGGACGCCAGGGGGCGCTGCGGGTAACAGGCGTGCTCCTCCCCGCTCGGATTGCCGTGTGGTCGTACTGCATGTGATCGCCTGGTTCGCGTCGTCGCCCTGTTTTGCTGCAGTTCCTTTTTTTTTTTTTTTTTTTTATGGTTGAGTGAAATGGATTGTGATCGGTGCCGTTCAGTGGGATGTAGACAACGCGTACAATGACGGAAAAAACGGCGGGACAAGAGAGACGGGCCGTGTTTTGTGTCGAGGCAGTGATTTCCCTACACCCCTCTACGGGGGTGCACTCCCCCCTTGTCTTTCGAAAAGCACCCGTATAATTCGCAACGACTCTTATATTCTCAATGCCCCCCGAAACCCCCCCTTTCTAACCTCAATTCCTGGGGCCCGTGCCGGGTTGCAACATTGGCTACCGGTCCTCCAAAAAAGCCCGTTCCCTTTTTCGTGCCCCTCTCGAGTTCGAACGGCGTAAGTCGTGATCCCGCAACAATAAAAGGAGTGACAGGGAGGCTCTGCTTCATGTGATGCACGCAGTCATGACAGTCTTCCTCTACATTTTTTTTTCGGACTTTTTGCACTTTAAAGTATCTGCTAAATCGGTCTAATAGACACTGGTTTCGACACACCGAAGGGTCCTGTGCACGCTGACTGCTTTAGAAAGGCTTGGAGAAGTGACTGTGAAAATGTGACGTTAACGGTTATGGCCTCACATGAGCAAATTATTATTATTTTTTTTTCTTAACGGCTTTAAAAAGATGAGGGTTGGCCCAGCACTCCGTCTCTTCAATGAAAAGGTGCTAAGAGGCCTCTTTTTACCGCAAGAAAATTGAAGGGTCTAATGGCCCAGCGGATGATACTGAGTCATTTATCCTGAAGATGTCGAAGCTCATCAAGATCATGACCTCACGTCGGAGAATGCAGAGGTACAAAACGCCATAGGCGCCGACTACGGGGGAGCTCGGGAGCCTCCCTCTCCCGAGCTCTTGGGAAAAGCAAGTACCATCGCCTCCGGAATCCTTGGGTGCACCTCATTAATCTCATCTGTGCGCTGGCGCCCAGTGTATCATTAAAAATTTATCTGTCTGCCCTGGTACCCACATATCAATATAGCTGGTGCTCAGTGGATAAATAAGAATTTATCTACTGTGGTTACTACCAGAGCTGGTGAGTGGATACATTTTTCTAACTATTCGCACAGTCCTGTTTGTTGAGCCTACGAAGTAACAGCAACTACGATAAAGGCTAGTGATGGAAATTCCTTCGAAAGCCCGTGGAAGTAATTGCGAGAGTCGACAGTGGCACCTCCATGCAGCCTACGGAAGTAGACGATATAATCCGTTTTGTAAGCCCCATTTTGTTTTCCCAAACATTGAAACAATTCATTAGGGTAGTGCGCTTCAACCACGGAATTCATTTATCACAACTACAGTGACAGCGAAATTATAGGGGAGGCACTCACTTGATCGAATGACGTTTTAGCGAACGCCCACGTTTCACCGAATGACACTTTAGCGAATAGTCGGACGCCGCGAAGCGGCGTTTTCGGGTGGGCCAAATGGGTTCACATTTTTGTAATGAGCCGCCGCAGACTGTCGCCGCGAAGCCGCGTAAAGCGCAGCGCGGCGGATGGGTTAACGCGCGCCCCCGTTATTCGCTAAAACGTCCATTCGCTCAAATGTCGCTGTTCGCTAAAATGTCATTCGCTCATGTGATATGGACCAAATTATAGAGTCACAATTAAAAGCAGACATTTGTTTAGGTATCATGCCATCAGCATGCTTATCCTACGTTATTCAGGGGATGACACACGTTTGCGACGTCTGTTTCAAGATACTTCCCGAACGTTTTTCTGGGGGATGGATTTCCCGCCTATTCAGAACGCAACATTGTTAGCGCGAAAGAGCGATCGCCGTTTTTTTTGTTTTTTTTTTTTGTGAGAAACCAAAGAAACTCAGAAAAGTTCTACTTGCTGGGGAAAAAGCTCATTCGGGTCTATAACGCAGGTGATAAAAGTTCGCCCTCACTAATACTCTTTCGAAATAAATGCGAGAAAGCGCCAATGTCTTGTTCGCGCTAGCAGTGCCGCGATGTGTACTGTGGCGTCCTGTCCGAAGATGCACGTCTCGGGTAAAGCATTTGGCAACGAATTAGTGCGATAAATATTATGTGAAACAGCAGAAATAAAGAATACCGTAAAGAGTTAGCCAAACAATACGAAACAATCGAACCCGTGCGGAACGCCAAGCCAGCCAAGCGCTACCGCTGCCTGCGCTCCGCACTCCGGCAGCACGCCTACTACACGTTGCGCCCTCTCGCGGCCACCGATCCGGTCATCGCTGAAAGAGCCCCCCCTCCGCCGGCGCTCGCTACACTGCCCAGTCGGCCCAGTCTTCTAGTACACCATAACGTCGTCGTTCGTTGTTGACGGTCGGCACGTCGGGACGTTGGCACGTTGTATGGCCGGTGTGCTCGTGGGTTTGCGGGTGTGCTGCGTGCCGATGTGCTGGCAAGTGCATTATTAGGTACTAGTGGCTTCTGTTGCATCCGGCATCAGCTGTGTCCTGTCTGCATTAAATTATACCGAAACATTTTACACTCGTTTCGGTACGTAGCTATTTCCCCATGTTCTCTAGTGGCCCTTGTGCGGCAATGTGCCGTGTTGTCGTTCTGCGGTTTCCATCGAACTTCAGCTAGCACGCGCTCCTGGCATTGAAACGTCAATTTTTAGCGAGAGCTAACGCTGCGAGTGCTTATTCTGCCGAAGAACGTTTCAAAGCCTCGACTTCGTGCTCGTGTTGCGTGATTCACGTTTAAAGTCAAAAGAAAGAAATAGGCGAAAAACATAAACAACCAAAAACGATGCATATCGCATCTGTGACGGATGTTTTAACTGTCAAGATATGCGCGTGAGGGCAAACTACGAAATGAGGACGACCCCGAATATTGAGGTCTGAAGCTTCTTCTCCAGTTCACCGGTTGCTTTAAATGCTCGTTCCCGGGCTTTTTTCTGTTTTGTTCTCCTTTAGGTGTTGAACATTTCGTGTTGCATCAGGCAATGTTTACACTTAAAAAAGTAGCTGAGTCGAATCTGCGATTGTCACAACCTGTTTAACAAAATTCTTTGAGCCACCTTGAAGAGTGAATTTAAAGTTATAATTTTTTTAAACGTTGCCAGATTATATATTACACGCATCCTTACCGCATTCGACACCTCAACACAGTACCTTGTCTTCACACCTTCACGTTATTTTCTGTAGCGCCACGGCTCTCCTGAGCCGAAATTAATATTACTATTACCTACATGTTCCAGATCTTGGACCTTACATTGACGACTTAATTATGCAGACACAGTATCATTGATTGCATTTGTGTGCTGTTTCTAGTTCAAATTCAAAACATGCACAGCTGATAGGCCAATAAATTTTGCATTATCCCCAAGAAAGAGCCCTGTGTCAGACTGCCCATAAAAGATATTAAAGTACTATTGCGAAGATAAAAACAAAACATGCTACCAAAAATTCTACTCATTTATCTTTCTGCACGTTCAGGTTTCTATGCTGTGTGGCAGAGATGATTCCAGCAGCCAGACGTCTGGGTCTCACATGGCAGAGATGGAGAAGCATACGTCTTTGCAGTAGCGAAGCGCACCGGAAATTGAGTGGTCGCAAAGTGCGCCAGCTTTTCCTGGACTATTTCACCAAGGACCATGGCCACCAATTTATCCCTTCCAGTTCGGTGGTTCCATCATCTGACAAGTCCATTTTATTCACCAATGCTGGAATGAACCAAGTGAGTTGCTCTGCGAATCCTAGTGTGTTCATTTTCTCCAAGGCAGCTGGCAAGGTTTTGGGCTCTCTCTGTAAGAAAACAACAACAACAAAAAAAGATTCTTTGAACATAAGACATTATTACCAGGCTTGTTTTCACCTTGGAGCAGCCGATAACCTGCAGCTATGTGAGGCACTTCCAGCACCGTCTAGAGTGGTCAAACTTGTGAACAGCCTCATCTTCCTCCAGGGAACGTACATCATCACTCTCGGATGGAGCCAACTCGACAATTGGGCTTAAGCCCGACACCTAGCGTCTTTCAACTCAATGACTGGATACGTCGCCCAGCCGATTGTTGACGCTGCACACGTGTCCAATCTGTGTCTGCGCTCGATCTCGCTGGGATGACGTCAAAATGCCAGTGCACGGTCTTTGATTGCTCTAGATTGTGCTCACTTTACTGACTAGTTTTAATACTTTTAGCAATTTAGAGAAGTGTCTTCATTTACACATTTTTTAAGAATATATATTGGTGTCACATTTGAGGCATGTGGCAAGATTTTGCAGATTGCCAAGCTTGTTTTATTTGAGAATATATAAATTGCATAATCTAAACCGTGAGACAAGAAAAATAAAATAACGGAGAACGCAACACGTGTTGTCCTTTGTTATTTTCTTTGTTTCAGGGTTTAGATATATTTCCTAACCAGCCTGCCTGTATACTTTCTCTTCTTGCTATAGTTTGACACGCTGCTTAGAAACAAGCCTATGTTTGCCCATACCAGGTGTGGGCACTGTGCGTGCGTAGAAGTCGACTTTGTGTGAAGTGAAGCGTCTGTGCATGCGCTGTTCCGTCGACAGTACCACCGCAGCTGTGTGTCGTCAGGGCCGCGTGTTGGTCTATATAATTTATTTATTTATTCATTTATTCAAGTTCCCTTAAAGGCCCTCGTTGAGGGTATTACATAAGGGGGGGTACATAACATGAGAGCATAAAACAGTAACAATGACACATGCGAATACATATGGGGTGCTGCAAAACGTGGCATGGCCACGAGCAACGGCAATACACAAATTAGTCTGGGTACATGGGGTACAACCAGTAAAGCACAAGACAAACAAATAGAAAGGCACAGTGGGATTAACAGAAATGCGCACAAAGAGCGGGTCTTTTGTTGATCCTTTATGAAAGATCCAAGAGAATGGGGGCGCTGCCAAGCACAATGAGCTTAAACACGAAATCGCAAATATATGGTTGTGCTGCTCGAAAAAAATATGTGGACAGGAAGGTATATATGACGTTTCGGGCGGGCACCCTTCTTCGCAATAAAGACGTCTGTGTCATCTTTTCTGTTATCATTTTTCAAATTGTAAGAGAATATATATATTTAAACATAATTCAAAGCACCAGGAGACAGACACACAGGTAGAAGGCTTCACAGCGCTTTGTTAGCGGCTGAAATTTATTGCAAAATAATGCTTCTATATACCTGCATATCATAATTCTGATGGAAGAAATTTATATTCGGTTTTGGAAGCAGTGACTGCACACCGATGCAAACCTCAGTGTACTCTGATATTAAAGGCTTTGAAAATACTTGTGTACTTTCCTAGGGTATAAATTTAATTATTTCAATAAATTCCCTGGGAGCTGACAGAAAAAAAGGATGGTGAGATAATATGTTCTGTCTTTACAGTAGTGTGTCAGTCGCACTGGCGTCACTAAGGTCAGTGGCACCCGGGGCGATAGCCCGCGGCGACACCCCCCCCCCCTCCGCTTGTCGCCCCCTTCCCCCCCCCCCCCCCCCCCCCCTCGTGGCCTGTCGCGACACCCCCCGAAGCGCTGCACCCGGGGCGGTCCACCCCCCCCCTCGCACCCCCCTTGTAGCGCCACTGGTCAGTTGTAGTGAAATGATTTTTGCACATTTTACTTCATTCATTGCAGTTCAAAAGTGTGTTTCTTGGTGCCATGGATGCCAACAGCCCATTTGAGAATCTGAAGCGTGCAGCAAACTACCAAAAGTGCATTCGAGTGGGAGGAAAGCACAATGACCTAGAAGATGTGGGCAAGGACTTGAATCACCACACCTTCTTTGAGATGCTGGGCAACTGGTCCTTTGGTGACTACTTCAAGGTACCGGAACCTATATTCAAACATCATAAAATACTGAGCAGGTGCCCATCTCACAATAAGCACCCACCCCCCACTTTTGAAATGTTTGAAAACTAAGTGAGTATATCAAGTGCCCACCCAAACGGCTGAGCCATCTGGCTAACCAATATGCACCCTCTTGTCAGCTGCTTCTTCAAGCACCTCGGTGCAAAGCGGTGAGGAAGGAACATCATGTGCCCCTTCTGCATTTTTGCTTTTGGACCTAACAAGCATCCATCTGCTAGTTTTTCAAAATTATCTCCAAAGTGTGATTGGGTGCTGGCTTGCTATTTTACGATAGTGCTTTTGTATCTAGAAACCCTGCTCACAAAAATTGTCCAGTTTTAAGTTATAGGCGTTCAGTTGTCTCCAATCCATTGAGTTCGTCAATAGATGCCTTGCATTGATATCGCTTGGTATTCTGGTGCAATAATTGAACTAAGTAGTAGGCAAGGCTGGCACAGATTAGAATTCATATGCCCCTGTCTTGCACCCTCCTTGAGACATCTCTTTTGAAACCTCATTTGTTGAGAGCCCCATAAAGATGTGAATTTCGGATATGACATGGTAAATATGTGGGAGTCTTGATTAGAATCCTATTTACAAACCCTGAAAATTATCCTAGGCATTTTGGCAAGTATCCTATTCGAGGTCCATCACTGACTGAAGGCAGCTAGGCGGGTATGGAAGGGTAAACTAAGGCTCTCCAAGCTTTTTACAGGAGACTACAGTAGAGGGGAAAGGAGCAAAAAAATTAAATGATAAATTTCTTTGGTAGATTTAAAGAGTGCCAAAATTGCCTCTTTTGGAGCATGCATCTTCCTCTGGCATATTCAGATCAAACTGATCATCTTCTCTTCTTTGATTTATGGCAACCTCGGTCACGTGGAGTGCTCCCGGTTGCACTCCAACCACTCCATCGAAAGGGTTGGATTTCGGCAGAAATCAACAGCGATGCGCTTTCACTGACCGCTGTGCCTACATGGCACGCCAGTGCCCGCGAATGGGAAGTCGGGCTTCTCTCTGTGGCTTACATGTGGCCGGGTTGCTCCAGAAAGCAGAGAGCATCTACCATTGTCCGAGTTGGAATCATGGAGCAGATTTCCTTTTCCTCGCTGATTTTTGTGGCTGATCTATGTCTGCAAGTGGAATTCACTGTAAAAAACCAAAAATAATGCACCAACTTTTTTTTTTTTTTTTTTTAAAGAAACGTAAAGCAGTTTGGAAATTTGGAGGGCCCTCTGTCAAAGTGCTGTATTTAGATCTGTGGGTACAACTTTTTTGCCTTCTAGAAAGAAGCATGTGCCATGGCATGGGAGCTTCTCACTGAAGTCTACCGCTTGCCCAAGGAGAGACTGTATGTTACCTACTTCGCTGGTGACAAAGAGGCAGGCTTGCTCCCTGATGAGGAGTGCCAGCAAGCCTGGTTGGAGCTTGGGTAAGATGGGTTTTCCTTTCTGTAATTTCGAGTTCCTGTGGTGTGCGTCGTGTTGTGTGAATGTGTTAAGATTTACGAGCGATGGCTGCGTTGGGACTAGATGTCAGCCTTTTGTGTTGCACCCGCACACTAGCATGTGAGTGCGGAGTGTGCCGGTCGCTGTTCCACACGTATGCAACATTCTCCTCTCTTCATTCTCCAGTTTGCCGCCAACACACGTGCTGCCTTTTGGGATGAAGGACAACTTCTGGGAGATGGGCAACATGGGGCCTTGCGGCCCCTCCACGGAGATCCACATCGATCTGGCTGAGGGTGGCGGGCCTTTGAAGCCCGCAACACTTCGTGTCAATGCCGGCTCTGGTGACCTGGTGGAGCTCTGGAACCTTGTGTTTATTCAGTTCAACAGGTGGGGCTTATTCTTTCAGCACATCGGTTGTTTAGCCCTGGGTTGCAGTACAAGAAACTTCACACAAATTGCGAGCTAAAAACATACTTTCCGTGTACGGCTCGTCAAAATATTACGTGCTGGAAAAATCTATCTATGGTAAGTACCTATTTCAAACTCCTTTAGTTCACGTTCCACCCATTGAAGAGCATGGTGAAAGAGCCCAAGTATGCATCTTAATCTCGCCACTCCATTGTCTCCTTTCGCGCGGTAAAGTCCGTTTGCTATGGTAACCGTCACCAATCGTCACCATGGCAATGAAGCGTCTTCTTTATGGAAGAACACATGAATACAGCATCTGAAGCCAGCAGCAGGAGATGCCATCTTCGAAATATCGTCTGCTAATATGAATGTGGCAACGCTAGCCAAAGTGGGATGCGCGGTTGTGGAGGTCGCCGCTGAGAGCGAAAAGCGGTCGCCTGGCGAACCCTTGGTGGGTACAACAAGGCTTGGTGCACGCTTGGGTCTGAGATTATATTAAAGTATCCCCAAGCAAAGTGAGGGGTGACTGCACGCAGCGCTGTCTTTTTTGTAGACTAGCTTGGAGCCCAGGCTAGCGTCGCTGAGTTGGTAGCAGACAGCATTCGAGAGATGGAGCGGCTGTAGCTGGTCTCGGGTGCTGCATTCGTGTGCGCATTTATTTACATTTGGCAACCATAGCAGATTGAACTTATTGTACGGAAGGCGACAATGGGGTGGCGAGATCAGGTGCATACTTATGCTCTTTGACGTGCTTTTCACTGGGCAGAACATGAGCAAAAAGAGTTCAGAGTAAGGGCTTAACACTGATGGCTCATTTACTCCTGCGCTTAATTATTTGACGAGCCTTACACAAAATCATGTTTTTTTGGCTACACAACGGCTGGTTTTATTTCTTTGGAACATGGGGCCAAAGCATCAAACTGCCATTCCTTCTGCTGTGGGGACAGCACTAGCACTGCCAGAATTTAAAGGGGCACTAAAGAGGATTCTGCGATCGTTGGTTCTTGGTTATTACTGATTCTACGGGCCCTAATCATCCTAAAGATAATTAAAAATTGCGGGACGCCGATTTCCCTATTAAAAACGTGATGACAGGTCAGGACACACAACTTTCTGCGTGGGTTTTTCCGCTCAGGAAAAGTGAGGCATACCCTCAGCAGCGGTGTCAGCGCGGTGACGATTGGCGCTCGTTGGCGAATTGCAATTGCGATTGAGAGGTGGTTTGCGACTGGCCGACGAGCGCCCATCGTCACCGCACTCAGGAAAGGTGGGGCGCTGTGGTATGCGCCCCGCCTTTCCTGAGTAGAAAAATCTGTTCAGAAAGAAGTGTGTCCCTACCTTCATCACATTTGTAATAGGGAAATCGGTGTCGCGTGATTGTAGTGTTTGAAGTTTTAGGATGCTTAGGGCTCGTCGAATCAGTTGGGACCAAGAACAGACGATTGCAGAATCCTCTTCAGTGCCCCTTTAATTCCTGAGGGTATGACAACATGGAGCAATTGCCATTGGGGCTCTAAGGGTGCATATTTACTCTAGCAGCTGAGATGCATTTACGAAGGAATTTCGGGATGGCTTGGTACACAATTAAAATCCTGTTCAAAATCATGCTTACTTTGCCATTGTAGTTTATCCTCCTGTTCCTCCTGTTTAAATTCACCGCATCAGCTCGCGCACACAGAATGCTATTTGCCAGCATTTTGCTTTTAAATGATTACGCTATGAATACATTTATTGAGCGTTGCACACAGCTCCTAGGAGCGAAGGTAGTGGATGCATGGACACACGTGAAGTAGTCAAACTTCATAGCCGAACTGCCTAAAACAGTTGTGACAACCTTGCCTCTCGTGGCATATGCTATCGGTCGCTAAGGTGGATAGGCTCCTCTTTCTCCATGGATGCCTATCTTCAGAATAAAAAAGGGCAGGCTTACTTGCTTCCCTGCATATCTAGAGGTCTGATGCAGGTTGATGGTTGCAGTTCAAACGACTAGTTCTCACTTGATCTCTCTTGCACTAAGTAGACTCTGACGAAGTATTTCAAACACAATCTTAGTTTATAGACTTACAGCTGGGGTACGCTGCTCAGAAGTAATGAAATCTATTTTTGTGGGGAACCAACAGCTGCTGCTTCTGTTCTGACCTCCTTGTGAAACATTCCACCAATTCTCAGATACGTCTGCGTTTCACCTTTCTCCAAATGTTTAGGGCTAACGTTTGATATCCTGACCACGCAGTGCACAAGTTGCTGATGGAGACCCCTACCACTCAGTTCTTTAAACTCCTTGAGTATCCTTATTTCTGATAATCGGGGTGTCATTATGATGTCGTTACATTACTCGGAACAAAACCTCTATAGCGCTTTGCCATCCCTGCCTGTTTTTGGCCGACTGCTTACAATGACACTTCTGAAGGTCCCCACTACTCTCGGTTTGTCATGACCGGGGAATGCAAACATTTCCTGTTCCACTAAACAGTCTTCTCTACACCACATGATTCCTGAGTTGGAGTGAAGTCCTATGTCCCCTGGCACTGAAGGTGCTTTTCACTCAGCTTTCTAACAGGAAGGAACATTCATAAGCACATACGTCCAGTACTGGTGTGGCAACTGACTATCATTTAAAAATCTATGTTCCCAGACACTCTTACGTCGGATACCGCTTGAAATTGCGCTTCCTTTTCAGAATGACCTCTACGGAGAGCCTGCTCTAGCCGCTTCTCCTCTTTTCTTGCTTCTCTGATGGGATCTGTGATAATATATTCTCTTCCTTCCATTGTCATTTTATTGTGAGCCTATGAAAATCAAAGAGAATGACAAAAATATGATAAACCTTTTCGTCTTGTACTGCCTCTTGCATGTACCATGCATGCTGAGGTGGGAGATAGTTTTGGCGAAAATTTGGGGGAGGGTTTGAGCCCCTCAGTTCCCCCCTTTGCCCTATGTCACTGGGGTACAATATGAAACCAATAGACCAATGTAATGCCACTGTTAGCTTTCCTTCCAAAGCACAGTATATGAGTGTCTCACGGAAGTTTTTCATTATATTTGCTTTAATTCTTGGCACATAGTGTTTCCATGTTGAAGTGACATTTATAGACTGGCAGCTACCTTTTTATTGCAGCAAAAGGAACGCTCAACGTTACAAAACCACAGATGAAAGACAAAAATGGGGACGCAAAGGACGTGTCATTTCTGTCCCCTTCTTCATACTTTGTCCTGAGTTCTATAGTGCCTAACTTTAACCAGCTTGATCGTTTCCTAAATTAATGTACTCGACTCTCTAGTTGACATTTTTTTTAGAAATATGGGTTTGAGAGTACTTGGTTCTGTTTCCCTTTCTCCTTTGTACTCATCAAGAGGCGAGGGAGGAGGCTTCTTTGTGTATGAAGTTGGGGTCAAAGATAATCCACAATGGGCACAAAAGCAATATTTGGGGAGCTCAGTCTATGCCACTGCAACTCAATGGAGCCAACGGGATCTAGCTTGGTTGCCCGAGGTCCGGTGGCGCACATAAACCAATGCATGGCTTCAATGCCTACCTCATTTGAATCTGGCTCCTGCGCATCCATACTACCCACACTTGGTGTGGACAAATGTAGGAGTGTTTTTAAGCAGCACATTGGCATATACCTGATCTACTCACGCGCCAGTAATTCAGAAAATGATAGATTCATATTTACGAAGCACTAAAATTGCGAATTCACAGTCCTGTCCCCCTCTTTGAAGATTGCCTCTGTAACCCACATTTGTGTTTGCAGAGATGCCGGCGGCAACCTTTCCTCACTGCCAAATAAGCATGTCGACACTGGCATGGGGTTGGAACGACTCACTGCAGTTCTGCAAAATGTGAAGTCAAACTATGACACAGATCTGTTTTCTCCGCTTCTGTCTGCATTGCAAAAGGTAATCTTCACAGTTCCTGAAATCAATTGGGAGTATTCTGCTTTATGAATGTGCAGTAAGAGGCATTTTTGCATGTCATATAATAGACATTTAGACATATCATAACAAACCAAATTTATTTTTGCTCTTTTATTTATTTTGGTACATCTGGCACATGTTTCTAAAGATGTTAAAATCAAATCTTGCTGAAAAAGTTTGTTGGGCTGTCAAGGGTAATATGCAGTTATGTGAAATTACATTTTGGTTTCATCGTCTTTTGAGTGTTGAAGACATGGTGATCATCGCAGAAAAATTGAATTATACTCTTGCTACGATATTCAAGGTGAAAATCAATCCAGCTTGAGCTGGGTTATGGAACTGGTCCCACCTGGATCTGGTCCCACCTGGATCTGACAAGAAATGAGATTTAATCCAGCTGGATCCAGAATCCAGATCCATTTGAACTGATTTTCACCTGGGATGGTACATTGTAAAGCTTGCATTGTCATCGATCTTGAATTTTGCTAGAAACAGTCTTCAAAAAGAGTATCAAATGATTTCCACTTTTGATTATCTAGTGCTTAGAATACACTCTTTACACTTGAAAAGCATGGAAGGTATATTAGTTTTTGCTTCCCTGCTTGGTTCTGCGAAACAAATTATGGATAATTCTATTTCTCTTTCCTGCTCGACTATTGTTTTCACTTGCAAAGTGAAGGCCATGCTTATTCTGTGACATTACGTTAATGCAGGGATGGGCAAAATACACGCAAATATGTATCGAAATACAAATACAAAATACTTCGTCAAAAATGTATTTAATTACAAATCTAATTACATTTCCAAAAAAGCATTTTAGTACAAGATACAAATACAACAAAATGCATTTGGTCTCCTCCAAATACTTTGCCAAATACATTCCTCAAAATTTGCATCAGCGACTTCAGGGCACCTGCAACGGGTTTCTGGGTATCTCATTTTAATTTTGCATCGCACACTCGGGAGTTAGTGTGCGAGGCTCTAGTAACGTAATAGAAATATAATCACAAAAAATATAATCAGCTTGGATGTAGTAGGGGAAAAAAATACAGAGCTTCAAGCAGCTTTTCTTTGTCGATTACATTTTGGTATAGACCAACAAAGAACCGAGACGACCAAGACGCGCAGCGCTAGCTAGAGAATTTTTTATTCTTACAACTCGCACCAGTTACGAAAATCTGGACGACCCGCGCATTTAGAATGTTCCAGGCAAAAATATGGATGGAAATCGGGCGGGAAAGCATCACATGTTGTCACAGGCACTTATTTAGCCAGTTTGCTGTGAACGTCGATTTCGTCACTATTCTTGCCCTTGGCTAGCACCGTAATCACAAAGTCACTAAACGCTTGTGCTTGATTGAGAGACACTGCATTCGGTGCAGAACATAGTTTTCTTTCTGCTCTGGACATGTCTTAGGATGAGCAAAATGAGTCGTGACAATAAATTCAAGGGATGTATTTTCGCCCACAAAATTGTATTTAATTACAATTGTATTTGAAATACCCACGTTTTAGTATTTAGATACACACGTCAAATACATTACCCAATTTGTAGTTAAATACAAATGCAAAATACACAACGTATTTGAAATACGTATTTCAAATACTTGTATTTGAAATACTGCCCATCTCTGCGTTAATGTGACAGTGGCTTTCTATTCATATATCATTGAAGAGTACAAACTTTTACCACTTAGGTTGTTCTCCTAACCAATTCTTTATACCTCACTAGTAGTTTTACCACTTAGGTTATTCCCCAAACAATTACTTTACACCACACTAGCAGTCTTTCAATTCTAAGAAAGAACCCAAAAATTGGCAGTTTCTTTCTCTTACTAACAGTGTCGTGCTCTCTACTCAAGATATCCAGTGCTATTAAGAAAGCTGACAAAACCAGGATTGCTTCTTGACGCTGGATAATACGTTTTGTTGGGCTTGTTGGAGGTAGAACAGACAAGTAAAAAAGTAAAGAAAAACAAAATCATGCAGCCAATACCCACCTACTGCACTGTACAGTCATGTCAAAATGTCGGAAAGAAGGACGATTTGAGTCCCCACCTCCATTTTTTCTTTCGTGGTTCCTCTAATAAAGGTTACTTGTCGTAATTTTCATGATTCGGTACGTTGTGACCCTATAACCATGAAACTTTACAATACACCACTCTTTCAGTGAGGTGTCTTCTGTGCTGCTTGTAACTTCTCAGGTTTGTTAGCTTACCAAGTTATCACCAATATGCCTGATCAGAATGGCATAACTATATAACAAATAAGTTAGAATGACAAAACAACTGTTAGTTTATAGGATGCCTTTGCCTAATATGAGCCATACATTGCTTAATCGCAGAGTGCAAGAGTCGCTCCCTATCGTGGTCTGGTAGGACCAGATGCTTCTGTGGACGTGGCCTACCGCATCGTTGTTGACCATGCCCGGATGTTTACAGTTGCCATCTCGGACGGTGTGCTACCAGAACATTTTGATGCTGGGTAAGCAGGCCATCACCTGTATCTAGACTTCTGAGCTGCCATGGGAAGCAGGTGTGGAAGCAAATATAGCATAGCAAGTTCGTAAATCAGGCAAGGCCTTGGACCTTGCTCGATTTGAGTGCCTCAAACTAGACATCTCATTTGACAATGTAGCTTTCAGTGGCACTGTGTGCACATTGCTCCTAAGCCCATAAGTGATCGAGTTAGTGAGCTAGGGCACTGCGCGGGGTTGGGCTTACCCAAAAGCGCCTTACCCGGCCCTGGCCCGGGTAAGGCGTTTTATTGGTGGGTCTGGACCGGACCCGGGTATTTATTTGCGGGCCTGGGAAATGGTAGGTCTGGTTTAGTGTGGAAATTCAGTGTGTGGAAATCTCACTTTAGTTAATGCCGTTCAACTTGTCTTGGCGAAAAATAAAACACGAGCATAGCTTTACTATGCTGCATATATTTATGTAGAATTTCATCGGGTGGAGAAAAATATGGAACGTGATTATGTATGCAGTCATAATTTATTTTGGGAGAAATTATAGCATACTGTAGATTGATGAATTAACACACGGCAAGTATAGCACTATGATATGATAAGTACGACATGTCGGCTGCATCGCAAGCCAACACATATCGTAGCTCTTCTCCATGAGTGTGCCAGGAGGCAAGCACCAGGTGGAATTCGGAGCTAGCTATGACAAAAGTCTCTGGTCACACAATATGAAGATGTTGAATCTCTTCTTGATAGCAGGGGCAATACACTAATGGAGGGCCTTAGCAAAGCAGCTCTAAGGGACGTCGTCAATTTCCTGGAGCCATTCAAGGAGGCCAGCAAAAAGCTTGAGCGAGACAAGCGGCGAATGCTGCCGCTGGTATTGCTCTACCAATGGAAGCTCGAGGGACACCCGACTTCTCTGCTGACAGACACGGTGACAGTAATCCGACTCAAGAAAAGGGCAGCACTGTTTCTAGAAAGTAAGCTAGACGTTGAAGAGCTGCACCATGTTGCCACACTGCTGTGGCCCCCTTTCTGCCGGCTCCAGGGCCTTGAAGAAGCAGAGAGGAGCATTGTCTACAACACAATAAGAAAAATGGTGGTCGGCGTGCCGGCGGTTTCTTTTGAACGCAAGAGTGATGGCGAAGAATGCGTCGGTGCAAAGCCACCAAAACAGAGACTCGTGGATAAGTTACAGGACTAGAATGACGACCCCGACACGGACCTTGATGACGACTAGTTAGGCAGCTACCTCCATGCCGGCGAGTCGTGTGAAAACATGGTTACCTGCTGAAATGGTGGGAGAAGGAGCAAAAAATTTCTGCATCTTTCTTTTCTTGCCAAGAAGGTTCTATGTATTCCTGCAACAAGTGCCAGTAGTGAAAGGAACTTAAGCGCCGTGGTTAAAGCCAGATTGTTTAGATAACCTTTTGTTTTTGCACAAAAACCTGTACCGTAATATCTCGAGATATGCCCCACCCCCGAAAGATAGCCCACTCCTATTTTGGGCGTGATTTGCTATATTCTTTTAAGCACCGAAAGAGGGGCCACTCTTTGTAATAGTAGTGTTGGAATCAATGATGGCCTCCACGTAAATGCGGCTAGTTAGCTATGGCGGGATATAAGCAAACGTAGCTGACTGGGAAGTAAAGTCATCTCTGCTTTGTTGCCCCTCGCCACCATAACAAGCTTGGAAGGGACACGACCTAAAAATAGCAATTTTGTTAAACTTTTTTTTTGATTGTACACAGAAAGTTAACCCACTCCATATTTTCACCTGATTTGCTCTTGATGTTAGGTGGACTATCTCTCGAGATTTTATGGTAGTCTTTTTATTCCGTAAATAAATGGTTTGTCGGAAACTCACTTTTATTTGGTTCCCTCGCTAGTCCCTGGCAATTGTGCAGAATAAGTAAAAACAATAATTTTGAATGTGAGGCCCCAGAAGAAATAGTGTATTTGTAGAAAGCTGCCTGTGAACAAACTCAATGTGGGAATAGTTAGGTCGGAGTTGTTGTCTGTTGCTTAGGCCTATTGGCCAATGAATTCATCTATACCACCTTTTGTTATGTTTTTATTTCTTAGGCTAATATGACTCTTCGATGTCGCAATACGATTAGCCTACTATAATTAAATTTGCACCTGTTCGTAGCTCTGCCCGGTTTCGGCATGCAAGAAAAAAAGTTGCATACCAGCAATTCGCCTCCAACGGTCGCATTAAGTGTGTAAAATTACGTTGCCCTATACTTTCGTACTTCACGCAGCGAAGTTTACACAACATGACATTAAATTCGGGCCTGGGCCGGACCCGGGCCTGTTGTAAAAGGCGGCAGGCTGGGCCAGGTCATGTATAAATTGCTTTGGCTCTGGCTGGACCTGGGCCTGGTTTCAAACACCTGGGACGGTCTCGGGCAGGTAAATTATCTTGACGCCGGGCCCAGGCCGGGCCTAGGCTCAGAAAAGCAGCAGCCGCCTCGGTGGCTCCGAGGCGAGAGCATCGGCCTACGGATCCCCATGTGGCGGGTTCGAATCCCGGCCGAGGTGCCCGCAATCTGACGGAGGCTTATTGTGGAGAAGACGCCGTGTAATCGAGCTTTCGGTTGCACGTCAAAAGATCCCCAGCTGGTCGAAATTAATCCTCAGTCCTCCGCTGGGGCGTGCCAGATGCCCGTCGTTGGTTTGGCACGTAAAACCCCCAAATTTTGATTTTTTCAGAAAAGCAGTCCGTGCAGTGCTCTAGAGTGAGCGTAAGAGGGTTGATGGAAAGACGAAGAGGTTTGCCTGGGCCAGTTGTCATCAGTGATGGGAGCTTGTGCTGATCGCTAGCACTCGGCAAAAAAAGAGAAAAGAAACAAAGTTTTCATTAATGATGGTGTGATAAGGTTAATATGTTTGAATCTCTATGGCCATACCAACCTTACAATCATTTGGAAGTTTTTAAAAATCAAGTAGCCACAATTGTTCTCTTTGTAATGGACCTTTTCGTTTTGTTACTTCAGGAACAAACTAAGAAGGGTGATTCGCAAAGCATCACATGCTGCCATCAAGCAGTTGAAGTGTGATCAAGGAGTTCTGGCTTCTTTGGCCGACAGTGTTTATACTGTTCTTGGAGAATTTTATCCTAACCTCGATTTGGAGCTGGTAAGTGTTTTGTGGAACTGATGTTGTCTCCTAAAAACCATGGATTTTTTATATGTGGTGTTCTTCGTTTAAGGAGAGATATGCCCTGGGAGGGTACAATTTTGAGCCTTTCACTCAAATTCATTCAAATTTTTAGGGTGAATAGAATCCTATTAGAAATCATGTTGACATCCAAAGTCTCAGCCTTACAGGCCAATTCAACAACATACTACATTTATCAAGCTCAGAACAAAGTCGCTTCATTAGGAAGTGTAATAAGGAAAAATATTAATTGCAATCGTCAAACTTTTTTAATGTGAACTAGAATACCCATAGTACACATTGAGGTAAAAATTAATTGCAGGAAATGCAATTCTAGAGACAAAATAAAATTAAAAATAAATACATATTTTTTTTTTGTGTGTTTTAATATATTTAGTTTTATCATAAAGAAGTGAGCTTTTTCAGATTATGAGTACCTTCACTTGTTCCTCACGAAATTTCAGTCCAGGACACAACTGAATGAAGCCTTCACACTTTCAAAACATGAAATGATACATTTCCTTGTACCTCATTTTCTGTCAAAAACCGTAACAGAGAAAAAGGCATCTGAAGTTTGAAGTTTAGGTTTCTCTATATTCTGAGTCCCAGGCACACTGAAATCATCTGGAGCATAGATAGCACCTTCCTCTCCGAGACTTCGTTGTTCCCCTTGCAATTGCCACCCGGCTTGCATCAGTTCTAGGCGAGCTAACTTTGATAGCAGACATTTCTCGACAGATAAACTGCCGAGAACTAAGGGACAAATGATACTAAAGAAGATTGGCAAAGTAGCGGCATGATCTGAAGAAAGATATTTGCGACTCTAACTGCCTGTAGGTGCCACCGCCATATTTTCAAAATGGCGGATATACGGCACGCAAGTTCGTCTGCTTCTTGCGCACCTCGTGCATTTGTCTACCCCCCAAATGCGCCTAATAATTGGGGTTGTGTGGATATTTATACAGCTTGCAGTTGGTCAACCATTTGAAAGTTGCGACGAGTCACTCGCTGTAGATGAGAAATATAGCCGGGGGCGGTACAACCGGTAGCCTGGGGTCTTTAAAAGGATGGTGAACCGAAATTTGTATTTAAAAAAACAGTGCTGGAGATGTAGGCGGGACGCTACAATCCCTACAACACTATTAGTAAGGCGATATCTCAAATGGACGGCCGTATTTTTGGAAAAAGAAGTCGAGATAGAACCAGGCCGACGAGGAGCGCGACGTCAAGATACCTAGTTTCCTCCTCTCTTCGCTTAGCTCCCCCAAGGCCGCGAGGCGGAGAAGACGCGAGGCCGTTCCCTCTCCTTCTCGGAGAAACATGATGTCAACATTCCTGCCAAATGCTCCTCTTTTTCTGAAAAATACGGTCATCCGATCTAGAAATTGCTGTATGAGTGATGTTTTGGTGTTCGTAGCATCCCGTTGCACGCATTTGCCGCGTGTTTTGGGGAATCCAGATTTCGGTTCAGCATCCCTTTAACATGCACCACGCACTAGTGATGCTCAACCCCACGCTGGTATGATGCTCATCCAGATTGAAACGGGCAGGGGTGGGGATTAAACTCAGAATCTATGGGTTCTGCAGTGCGGAATCCAAGTGCGCCTTTGATGACAAAATAAAAAGCAAAAAAGACGCTGTTTTGCAAATATACTTCATAAGAAGCTGCAGGGTCAGTGGTCCTGAAGCGATACCACTCAGTTTCCTTTGAAGTCTCAACTACTGGCAAAAGGCTCGGCAATGAAGTTCAAGACAACAGCTCATGGTACCCGGACATTACTATTATATTTTTTTTTTAAATTGGGAACACAATGAAATGAACTCCAAATTTCGAAGAATTGAGAATACAACAAGAAGAATCTCCGATAAACCCCGAATTTTCAGCAAAAAATAAACTCCGAAAAACATCCTCCGAATTTTACGAAAAATAAACTGCAAAAACACTGAATCCTTCTCGTACCATATTCCATATTTTTTCTCTTGGAGTTCTCCTGGCCATTGATACTTTTAAACTTCAGAAGTTTCTGCAGGGTAAATTGTGCTTCCAATGGGAGTGAGATGTTCTGAGCATGTTAAACAAGCTTGGAACAGCCCTAAATTAAAAAAGAAAAGAAGAAACTTTGCTGCCTACATTCAAAAATTGTATATATATATATATTTCTTTTTTTTTGTGATAAATCCAGCATATTTATAAATAAAAGTCGTGGTCGGTTTGCCCTGCTGCATACCCGACCCGGAGGAATAACACGGACCCAACGGTTTCAACAAGAAACTACATTTAATGGGACATGGACGAGACGATTAACATGGTTACCAGCGGCGCCTGAGTCCAGGCAGCGACTCCCTGTGCGCCGCCTGTGATCTGCCTTATCAAGGCAGCGCATCCGATGTCCGCGTGGCTTGCGTGACGTTGCCGCCACGCGGGATAAGTTCGGCACCTTTGCCTCGCAGTCGGGCAACTGGGCTGGGAAGCTGCCAGGGTTCCCCCCCCACGCTTCGTCCGGCATGTCGATGACGGAGACGTTGTGGGCGTCGGGGGTGGATGGCGCTGTTGGGCGGACTGACGCTGTAAGTCCGACCGGCGCCTGCTGGATGAGCGCGGCGGCTCGGTCAGCTCCAGCTTGTCGCTTGAGCTTGTTCTGGATCAGGGCTCCACCTTGTTGCTCTGGACCGCCTGAAACCATTCCTTGGAAGTTAATAAACATAAATATAACAATAATTTTTTTTTCTGGAAATTTTGAATTTTTAGGTCACATCCTCCTTTAGCAAGTACACAATGAACACATATCAGCTGAATCATATTTTAGAAATTCAGTTTCGTTCTGCAACTTCTTGACATAGTATTGTCAAGAAGTTGCAGGTAAAGACTTTACCTTTACTTGCAACTTCTTGACATAACATGTTCTTTCAATCTTTGCAAATTTGTAATTAGAATTCAAAGTTTTGCGTGGAAGTTTTGTTTCTCGGTCTGTCACTGAAACATACTCGTACTGCCTCCTCTACCCTGTTGCAGGTAAAGAAAAGTAGGTCAAGCTTTTCCTCCACCCTTTCCACTTTTGTAGAGTGAACGCTGGAGAGGAGGCAAGTCCCTCCTTGCCTCCTCCTACCTCTTGTCCAGTCTTTACTCTGCCAAAGTGGAAAAAATAGACTAGGACCTTGTCCCGCTGTTCTTAACTTGCAGCAAGGTATAGTACTTGTATTAAGGTACCGGAAAACACTCCTACTGTATATATTTGTTCTGCTGAGGACCATAGTAAGTCGGGGGTCTCCAAACCCCGGCCCGCGAGCGTAAAAAAATGGAGGCGAGACACGCACCAAAGGCGTGAACAAAGATATAGGGAAGGATGAGAGGAAATTGTGTCGAAACACGGGTTCTCTTGCCATATTATTTATTGTGCTTTGTCATTACCAACGTCACCACTCATGTTCTCCTGGTTTGCATCTGCATAACTGCTAAAATTCCTTGGCATTCTCTTGTATATTGTGCTTAGAGTCCTGTGCCGTAAATTTTGCATGTTGTCATCATCAGGTCTACCGTTCTCATTAGCCTTCTGCCCTGTGTGAATGTAGTAATGTTCTCGTGCACTTTGATTTATGCCTGCCAAGTTTTCTGGGTCACAGTCTTTCTTTATAATGTCATAATCAGACGCATGTTGAATTTAAAAATAAGGTCTATAGATTTGTCCACCTTACTTTTTAAAACATTTACTCTACTTTAAATTTTATTATTTAGGTGCCTATTTATGTTTTCCCATTTAGTAGTTCTTTGTTTATATCTACTTGATTTTTTTTTCCGGCCCTCAAGACTGCGACAGATTCCCAATCCGGCCCCTTAACCAAAACGTTTGGAGACTCCTGGACTAAGTTAAGGGAATAACAGAAACTGAAAGTGCTTAAACTTCACCAGGACTATCTTGTTGTCTTTCAGGTCAAGAACATTGTCAATTTGGAGGAAGACAGGTACCTCTGGCAAATGAGCAAGGCCGAGGCTGCCCTTCGTGATGCCAAGCCAAGCAAGGAAATTTCAGGTCACTCAGCCTCTTTGCGTCCTTTGTTTCTCAGCATAAAACTTGATTCATGGGTTTTACAAACAAAAGAAACTGGTAAAAAGAAAAAAGGATTGGGGAGCTAAGCTCTGAAAGTATGCTAACTGTCTTTTAATTGAATGCTTGATTTGGTCTGTTTTAGGCATACATATTCAATAATATTTATGCCTACATGTGCTGGAGTGGTTGTACAATTAAGTAAAAACTGTTTTGCAACTTCAGGAAAGTTGGCCTGGGATATGTATGTCCAGTACGGCCTACAAAAGGAGCTCATCGCAGATATGGCGGCTGACAGAGGCTTGTCAGTAAATTGGGTAGAGTTTTCGGAGCTTTTTAAAGAATTTCAGGTTTGTATAATTTTACCTTTGCATGTGTGTATCTTTCATGTCTTTCATGGCAAATGAGCCCATCAATGTAAAAACGTTTTTCACTGCACTAGTGCTACAGTGTATTATAGAAAGGTGCCTAATGACTGATGTTACACGATGCAATGCACTGCAATCTAGGATTGGTCCAGACTTTCTTTGCCCAGATGAGTGAGATTGAAACCAAAACCACTCAGAGAGGGTCAACCTCTGCCAATCTCTTGTTTTGTGGAATGATCGTTGTCTTCATGTTTCAGGAAAAATCTGAAGCCGGGAAGGCTCGGTCAGCTGTGGAGGCAGAGGGCCTGACCCGGGAAATAATGCAACTTCGCAAAGCAGGCTTTGCGCCAACTGACACTGACGGCATCTACAACTATACGTCTTGCGACGGGAACTATAGTAAGTTGATCTGGCAAAGTTTGATCAACTGTATGGGCATTATACATCTACTTTTATTGTAACTAGCACCCTCAATATGTTAGCTGAAATCTACCACCGAAAAGCCCTTTCTCTTTCTCTTGGTTGTATGGAAAAGGTAACAATGCCGTGTGCGTTACCTCTTATAGTACTTACTTAAAATGGAAAGAATAAAACACAGAGGACAAGCACAGGACAACCACGTTCCTTCAACAACAGCATTCTTTTGAAAGAATGTGGCTGTCCTGTGCTTGTCCTCTGTGTTTTATTCTTTCTGGGTCGCCGTTCTGCCACCGCCATGACCTTGTGCACTATGCGAATAACTGCGCAGAAGGTCCATCCTCGTGATAGCGGTACCCTCCGCTGCATTTAGTTTGTTTGCCACCAACTATTATGCCATTATAGCTTTAGAAAAAGCGGAGATATGTGCCCGGCAACCCTTAATTTGATGTTGAATTCGTGAAAGCTTCCTGGGCCCCTACATTCGCATACTTCTACCAAGATTTTTTTACTACATCACACCACCACCAAGCATTATCATCATTTGATCGCATTTCTACGGCACAAAGAACCATTGCATGACACAAACTTTATACGGAAAACACTGCATAACTTGTAAAAAAAGAACTCAATTCAGAACAGCTAGGTCAAATGCATTGCATTTCCAAAAGCTCTCCTGAAAGTCGCATTATGAATTGCATGACCACTTGTTAGAGCAAGCCCTCCTCTCCCAAGTGACTGGGTAGCGGAGTAGATTAAGAGCGAAGAAAATAATCTTGGGCTACCCAAAATTGTTTTCTTTTGTTTCCCAGATTTCTTGGACCGGAGTCGGTCCGGAAAATGAGGTCACTTGAACAATATAAGAAACCAACACTGAAACACTAATATAAGGTGGTTAGCACAAGAGAGCCAGTTGAAACCTGCTATTTGGCTACATGATCGTGAGTTTTCTAGTACGCTGCACAATTCTAATAACGCAATAGCTTTTTTTCTAGAACAGTCGACCCAAAATTCCCACATAGTTTCGTTTCCTCTTTGCTTGTGACTTTTAATGCGCTGAATTGCCTTCTTACCTTCAAAGATGTTCGGCAGAGCATCGAGTTCAGGCGAGCCTTCTTCAGACCCAAACCCATACGTACATTGTTTTCATATGTGCCGTCCGAAACACGTTTTGAACAAAAAACGGTGTTCTTGCTGAAACCCACCCACCCCTTTAAAATCTCGGTGTCGGAGCGGAAAAGACAGAAAGCGGGAAGAACAGCTGCGACGAGCGCTGTTCGTGAAAGCTGGTGGCTACACATGAGTATGGCATCTTGCAACAGCACGAGTCAGTTGGTTCGGTGCCACGAGAATTCTGCAGACACGTGAACAAACAAGAGAACAATCAACACGTTAGGCGATTGAGTGAATAGCATGACCGGTCAATGGATAAAAGCAAGCGGTATGCAGCGGCAGAACGACAATGGCTCGTAAAGTCAGTAGAGTAGCCTACGAGGGAAGCGCGGTCAGCCGCGGCGGGGTCCCCCAGCGGGTCCTTTTGTGACGCCGGCTGTCGGGCTTCCTCCTCTCTCCCCTTTCCCTCTGCTTCGGAGAGGCGTGGCTTCGGCGCTACTTTGAAGGCGCTTTTCCGGTTCATCCGCGCAGAAAATGACCAAACGAATGCGATATTCGTGATGGCTGAGGTCTCATTAACTAGGCTCAGGTGTTTTTTCTCATATTTAAAACTGCTTCAGCTTCCCTTTAAGTATTCATGTTCAACTCGCTCACTTTTACCAGTTATTGAAGCAGTTCTCTTCACTGATAGTGTTGTGGTTTTGTAACATACTGCATTCATTTATACATCTGCTACCATTCCAGTTTTTTTCATACATACTATTATCATGTGTAAGGTAGAATAACTCATTGAAATGTTTGGCCATGTGACAGTGGCTCTCCTCTATTTCAGGTTTTCCAAATATCTGGACGCTCGTAAAGGCCATATTTAGAAATGGCAAGGAAGTGGACACTGTCAACCTGGGGGAGGACTGTCTTATTGTGACAAGTTCTACAAATTTTTACTTTGAAAGTGGAGGGCAGGTGTCGGACAAAGGAACCATAACCACCAAGGTAGCTGTGCAGAGTTTTTCTTCTTTCTTTACCTTGGCAACTGCCGCCAGAAATACTCCTTCCAATGCAGCAGAGTGAACTTTGCTACCCAACCTTTTATAACGTTTTCACGCTTTGGATTGCATCTTTATAGTGGGCTTAATTTTTCGGGCCTTTGTATACATATGGAAGCATGCATATGGAGGTCGTGATATATATACATTCGGTAAATTTTGCTTCATGACGTCTCTTGGCAGCCTTTCAGAAACATGCTATGAGCAGTTTTGGAATACACAATTCATTCGCTTTCAGCACTACACTTCTGCCACATTATATTTAAAAAAATTTAGTTTTAAAGGGGCGGTGCAACAATTTGCGGACTTTGGCTAATTAATTGCGGGAATTGATCCCGGCCACATATAAAACGAAGGACCAAAAACTATTCTTTCCTGCTTGCCCTAGTTTTCATTAAAAAAAATAAAAGAAATTGGTATCTCTGGCACCCCTCAACTCAACATTGAAGCGGCACCAGCTTCGCCCGTGACGTCATTCGGAGTGGCTGGTTTCCGCTTGGGTTCTTCTGGCTTCCGTTTCCCCAGCGCTCGCCGGCTCGCCGCTCTCCCGCTCTCCCGCCGATTCCCGACCAACATGGCGGCATGGGCGGACGGCCTGAGCGACGTCGAGCGCAAGATGCTTGCGACGCGGCGGGCAGTCAAAGTCGAAGTCGAGACACCAGGAACAATAACGATACCACGATACTACGGACCACGACCAACGCACTCCGTCGAGCGAGGGAAAGACAAAACATCCGGGTTGCTCGTGTAGCCGCCGTAGGCGCCACGGGCGTCGACGGATGACGGCGATGGCAGGTTTTGTTGACTTTCGGTAGATGGCGCCACAAATAATTCATACCCTTTTAGCGGCAATATTAGGCTTTTGAAGCGTCTCTGCATGCCTAAACAACAAGATTTTTTAAACTTAAGCTTAAATCAAGCTTAGAATTGCCTAACACTATCACTTACAAAAACCACTCCGAATGATGTCACACGACAGGTTCCATTTGCGGCCACCATGTGGCCGCAGGTTGGGGAAAAAAGTGTTTTTTATTCTACGATTACGCAGCGAAATAGAGGTATTTTGGGGTATGGTGGCACTTTTTCTCTTACTTATGCCGAAGTAAACAATATAAAAAATACAAGCTGCACATTCGTTCAGTGTTAAAATCATTGCACCGCCCCTTTAAGTATTTTTTGAGGTGACTATAGTCTCAAGAGTAGAACATTCATATTATAACTGTAACTGTATTTTAATAGATTTGTCAAACAATATACTTTGTGGCACAATCTTAATACTTGATAGTGGGCCTCTTACTCCCGGTAATCACAGATTTTAAGATATAGGTTCGCACAAAGCTGTTTTGGCCATATTAATCCGTACAACCCGCCACTCCGTAGTGTATCTGATCTGTGTCCTCATGATGAGCTCTGTCTCTTTTCTATCCTTGGTCGCTGTAGTAGGCTCGCAGTGATTCAAATCGGATATTTCATAGCTCTGGTTAATTCAAATCAATTTCGAAATTTGGGTTGCCTGCTATGTTCTCATGTATTTATAGGCCGCTTAATTCGAACAGCATTATTGTGTAATTCGTCCTTTTTTGTTCTCGTGGCCCCGTTGAGTGCCCTTCTTTCTGAGCATGGGTGCACTGCAGAGAAGCAACTTTCGCGGAGCTCGCTTCCATGGGCGTAGCTTCTCTGCAGTACGCTGGTGCTCGGTAAGAAGTGCTCTCAACAAGGCTAAAACAGGGGACATAAGAACAGGGGTGGAACGGCTGCGCCATCCTGCGCCATGTTGCGGAAATTGCGCCACAACCAATACCTGGCGCCATTATGCACCAAATCGCAAAACGTGCGCCAAAAAAAAAAAATAGTATTTTGTTTTGGTTTCGGTTTCTATCGACTCGATTGGCAACAATGAGCGCGTTTAGCTGGGTCGACCTTGCAATAATTTTATCTCTTTATTCTCCCTGTGTACTCCGAATCTTGAAGCGCGCGAAAGAAATCGGAGGTCTGATTTCAAGCACTACATCACCTGCTACTACTCTTCAACCATAAGCGGCTAAGCAAGTCGGCCGAAGTGAGGTCGAGCCGTTAAGCGTCAGATTGCCTCGGGCTCTGCGGCCCGGGATCCGGACGTCAGCCAGTTAAAAACAAATGGGCAAAAGATTCCTTTTAGTACTTCATTGTTAGAAGCTGGAACCGCATTCCCGCAAGAAAAATCGTGATTTGATAACTTCTGAAACGCGGCCCAATCCGAAACCTTGCCGGCCAGCAGCTCTCACGCAAGCGGTAGATCTGCTCGGCGTACTTTAACCTTGTTCCTTATTGCTTCGAATACGATAACTCCGTTAATCGTAGTCTGCTGCTTCGATATTGAGTTGCCCAATAGGATAAACTCAAAATTTGTTTACCTGTTCCTTCGCGCACCTGCACGCCCGTTGCTTAAGCACGTCACGTGGTTCACACGTATAATTACTATGTCGAGCACGTGTGGGTTTTGCGATAAGCAATGCTGCTTTGCATTCTGAGCTGCTGAAAGCCAGTCAGAAGATATCAAGGGCGCTATCTTCAGAAACATGTGGTTATTCCCTGTTGGTTCTCATTAAGGCTCGCACAGTTTCAAGTTTTCGCATCCTTCACAATGTCATCCGATCTAACGAGGTCCCTAACCGTGCACTCGTGTTCATATGTGCTGCTAAGCACAATTGAAATTGCTCCCATGCTTGACTAAAACTCCAGCTGAAATGCAATGAAAACTAATCTGAGCTGCTCCTAACCTGCTCCGAAATGTAGTTTTAGCTGCTCCCAACCTGCTCCAAAACAGCTGTTTCAGCTGCTCCCGTGGCTGCTCCAAAGTACATTTCGTGAGTTCCACCCCTGTAAGAACGATGAAAACGGGTGCCATATGGCAGTTACCATAGCACAGGGGTTCTCAAACTTTTTAAACTCGGGGAACCCCAGCAACCTTTAAAGAGTGCCGAGGAACGAAATAGAGGTGCGGAGGGGAGGATCCGCCGGACGTGGCGGACTCGTATCACCATTTCCTGCCCGTGTTAAGAGAGGGCACTATACATTCTCAGGAGAACTGAAGGTTTCCTTCAGTTCTCCTGAGAACTGAAGGAAACAAAGGAACTGAAGGAAATGTGCACCGTGCCTTGCCGCAAAGTGCACCGTGCCTTGCCGCGCGCTGCACTTTGCGGCCGCACGGCTGAGCTTCTGAGTTCTGCATACTTCGATGAATAGTAAATCGCGTTTTGAGCTGAAAGCCCCACGTTTCGTCGTCGCGTCCGCATGTGCATGTAGGGGGGGGGAGGGTACCGACTTGGGTGCTCGCGGAACCCAAGCGAGCACTCCGCGGAGCCCCCGTGTTCTGCGGAACCCAGTTTGAGAACCCATGCCATAGCAACTTGCGTGAACGCTGGGACGTGGTGGCATGGCATAGCTCCACGTCATAGCGTCCACACAAGTTTCTGGGGAAACTGCCGCGCGACACCTATTTTCATTGCTCCTTAATTGTCCACAATGGACAACTTTTTTGCTGGATGAACAAACTTAATTTTGCAGGCTGACAAGTGTGTTGGTAAAGTTGTGGCTGTGGGCTTTACTGTACTGTTGCTAGTTGAAAGAAAGTGTACGTTGTCCCTCATCCCACCTGTGTCTTGTTCCTTCAGTGTTCCTAAACTTCATTTTATATTGATGTGTCATGTGCTGTCTAATGGTCCACAATAAGCAACGTTTTTAAGGGATGAATAAACTTGTGTCATACATTTCATCAATGTTTAATGTGTGGCATACATGCCTATGATTAGTAGGCCTGTGTAGAGGAAGTCATAAAATATCTGCTTTGTATGTGTATCCGTCCATATTACAAATGATAATTTTACCTTGCATCATATTTAGATGAATTTTTGATCATTCAAACTTCTGATAATTCAAACAAAATTCGTGTAGTATTAGCTAGATCCAAAAAAGAATAAACTTACCATTAAATTGTCAGCCATATATTTTTAGTTTCAGTCTAGAACCACATAAAAAGTCTTCAAACAAAATTCATTCTGAAAGTTAGGAGTTTTTATCCAATTTCATTGCGCGCAAATTTTCTCTTGTTACAGGATGGCGAGTTCTGTGTACAGTCTGTGAAGAGCCAGGGTGGCTTTGTGTTCCATCGAGGAGTTGTTTCTAGAGGTGCAGTAAGCAAGGATGATGCAGCAGAAATGTGCATCGACAAGGTGGGGCAGTTTGCCTGAATTAGTATGCCCTGCTGTTTAGCGTGGTGTAAAACGACTGAATATGTGGAGTTTGAAAAATATATGCTACTGTACTATTATCCTGCAAATCCACTTTAATCTGGTGGCTTAATATGATGCATACACAGCCTTGATTTAAGTGATGTTTAACACATGGGTGCCGACTGGTTTCTAAGGCAGCATCTGCCTATGGCCATATCCTTGATAGGGAAATGATACCCAAGCACGTGTTGGGGGGTGGGGTGCTAACTCTACAAAATATAGATGAGTGTAAGTTCTGCCATGGTGCCTCTAATGTTAATTACTCTATGTTGTGGTTCCTTGAAAACAGCAACATCGAACTCAGTGCATGCTGCATCACACAGCGACTCACTGCCTCAACATGGCCCTGAGAGCCGTACTCGGGTCTACGGAGCAGAGGTCCTCCCTGGTGGACAGCAGACACTTGCGGTTCGACTTTCTTTCTAAGGTGCCTGCTGCCTACTACCATGAGACATTGCTGCTTTCGGGGGATTGGTGCTGACTTAAGTGCACATATCTCTGTTACAGAAAGGCCTAACCACTGACCAAGTCCAAAGGGTCCAGGATTGCTGTAATGCCATGATCAGGGAAAACCACGATGTACAAAAAGTCATTTTGCCCAAATCGGAGGCATTGGAACTGCCACAGTTGGTGACCGTTGCGAATGAGGTGGGACATATTTTACCCTTGTTGTGCTCCGAGGGCTGGGCTGTGTTGCGATACCAATGTATTGCGATAGTATCTTAAATATTTTCAAGTGTCTGTATTTCTGTATCGAGAAACATTTGAAAATGTTATCTGTATTTCAGGAGTGAGATACGTTTTCAATGTGTCAATTGTATCACAATAATATCTCATTACATTTATTGTTCAAAATGGCTGCTTGCTAAGTCGTGCACTAGGTTTGAAGCTGTTTTTCACCCTAACCACTTGCTTTTCCTCTCTTTTACCATGCAAGGGTGGTTGGGAGAGTGACGTGACCTCATATGAGAGGAAGTATTTTAGTGTACTTACGTATTTCAGTATCTCTATTCCTCCGTGTGTATGCTAGGATATCTTTGTGCCATTTTTACAAAAATATATCAGAAATTTCTCCCAACTGTCCCGTTACATCAAAGACAGATGTACCTCATTTTTTGTATTTTAGCATTCCAGTAGATGTATCTCAGTATTTGTATTCCCAAATACTTTTCGAGAGTATTTACCAAGCTTGCTGCTCACAGAAGGTGCGAGTGGGATATAGTTGGTACATGATTACTATGTAAAAGCGGCAAAAAGGCAAGGAGAAAGAAGTAGGAATGAACACAAGAAGCGCTCACTTTTTGGTATCTTTTTTAAGCTTTATTATCTGAATGGACTGCAGATTTTTCCCTTCAAAGTTAACAATGCAGAGGGGAATCTATGTTACAATCTGTACTTAATCCACAGAGCCTTGGGTTTCCTGGCAGCTGAGTTTGCATTGTGTGTTGTCATGTTGATTGTATAGGTTCCTGAAATTGGACAGATTACTAGTTTAAGTGTTTAACAGTGTATTCATTTCTGTAGCATTCAGGCAGCATTTGAGGGCCTGTGTTGTTATGCACAGAGCTATGTATTGTGTATGATGCTTCTAAAAAGACGCAGGTGTTCTGAAAAGTACTTTATCACAGATTTATTATAGTCCTAACTTTGGTAATCTATGTACTACAAGCAAAAAAGTGAGTTTTGTGCCACATGCAAGCATTCTACTTCATTACATTGTCATGAATTACTATATGGCCATACTTTGTTTCAGGAGTACCCAACCTCAGTTTCTGTAATTACAATTGGGAAGAATGACAACATTGTATCTCGGGAACTATGCTGTGGAACGTAAGTATTTAGTGTCTCTTTTCTACCGCTAACATCAATTGATTGGAATCCCTTCCTCGCTTCCTTTTCTACTATATGGTAATCTCTTGTTATAACGAAGTCAAATATAACCGATAATTCGACAAAAGCGATAGAGCAGAGAAAAACAGTGCCAGTTGCCTTGAAGTTGGTTGGGAACACTGCAGAGCACTCTGACCATATATTTAATCAAAAAGACCTTGGTTATGAACACCTCGCGGCAGCTTTACCAAGTAAAAGAAAAATATAATTAAATGGAGTTTGCCATAATTTTATCCGGGCATCAGGTCTCCTCGAACTGTTCCAGGCATCGCAAGAACGCTGTCACTGCCGCTACACTCCACTTTGTTTCGAAGCATCCATGGTTACGTCTCCGCAGTTGTCATCGCTTCCCGAGGTGCCTTTCCGATGTCGCTTCGGGTTTACCCTGACCGCACGCAAGGTCTAAGATCGCAGCCTCCGTGGCAGGAGCAACAATGGGAATGTCCGTATCGACAAGTGCGAACGAGTTAAAGTTATCCTCGGTGGCTTTGCCAACATGTTTTCACACACTCCTGTAGAGATCGTTGCAGCTATGGAAATCTTGTGCCGGCTCGGCAAGCATGCTCGCGAGAGAAAATTCCACGTGCGCAAAGCAGTTGGAGATCTTTCATCTTCAAATTTCGAGTGTGCTTTCTCCTGCATGAAAAACTTCTCGAACCCGTCCAATATGCCTTGCTCGTTCTGCTAAATGGTGAACAGTGTCGAACAGCCAATGCCGGAACGTCGAATTCTTTGGCGATTTCGGACTTGGGCCGGCCACTTTTCTCAACCTCAGCGATCTAAGCGACTTTTGGCAAACATTTCCAATCACCCATACGACACATGTGCGTGTAGTATGCCGCAGGCGCGCATGCACAGGCGCACGCGTCCAGCTCTAGAAGGGACGATCTCCTGTGGGCTCCATCGCTCCCTTGACCAGATTCCGACACGAGTGGGGCGGCGGGGGCTGCGTCGGCCGCAGGCGCCGTGAGTAGCGCCGGAACGTTGACGCTGCTCCTGCTACTTTCTGCCCGCGTCCCCGCATCGGTGCATCGGCATCGGAAGGGGCGCTCTACTAGCTCTGCATTCTCTGCCCTCCATCACCCGCTTACTCCGTTTTCCCAGTTTGCCGTTTGCCCTGGTGGAGAAGGGGAAAAACGCAATGGTTTCCGTGCGCTTCCATGTAGGCTTGCATGCTTTCGGCACCTCTGCCTTGGTAATAAGCGTGGTTGGCCACCGATACACTTAGAATAATTAGAATAATTCGGTTAAAAGTGTGTGCATTTTGTTCGGGACCACGTTGAACTTCGATAAAGGCGATAATTCGAAAAAAATTATTTCAGTATAACTAGTGGTAGGGATTACTCTAGTTTGTTTCACCGTCTGTGCTAGTGAAACCGAAGCATATTTCCCTGAATGATGCTTCCACTGCTCGAGCTCGTGTGTTTGGTTGCAGGGAGGCGGATAGCCCATAGTTTACTTTTGTAGTTCTGCTACGCTCACACTTAAGTAAAATGCGAGTACAGTGATTGTTATAACCGATTATCATTGTATCTGGACTAGAAACTGAGCGTTTCTAGTCTAAAATATCTAGAAACTGATCGTTATCAGCAGGACATTGTTATATGTGCTATCGTTATAAGTGGATTGCACTGTATAGTATTAGATATTTTTTTGTTTTTTATTGTTATAAACCACTTTTTATTAACAGTGACATTAGTTTATTTAATTTGAATCATATGTCATTTTCTGTTCAGTTTTGTCTCTACACACTCTATACCTTGAGGGTAAACAAATTAAAAAAGAATAAATGCACAAATAAAATGCATGTTGTAAATTTGAGATATCGGTTAGGGTTTCGTCTCGTTGATGAGATATATACTTCTATAATACAACGTCCTAACAGGTATGCGGAATGTATTCTTGTCCCATTTATCCAAATGTTCTTTCTTCTGGAGTGCAGAGAACAAATGATTTAGGACATAGCTGTTCTTTGTGGCATTTAGCAAACAACATAAAAGGAGGAAACTCCTTCTCCTTTCGGCAGCTCCTTTTGTTTGAGGAGGAGGTAAGAAAGCCAGAGGGAATGGAGAGAAGCACATTGGGGTGGGGTCTTCTACCTGATAGAAAAGGTGCTGTCTGCATGTCATCTGATAAACAAAGGAAGCACTCGTGGAAGAATCAATGAATGTAATTACAAACACTTCTATTGGGAGTTGGTTGATCATCGGTCATATTTGCTGACTTTCTCCCTTAGGCATGTTTCCAGCCTGTCTGACTTGGGGGAATTCGTGCTGACATCCCATCGTTCTGTGGGCAGCATGGTGAGGTCGGTCTGTGCCGTTGCTGGCCCCTTGGCTGTCGATGTCAATTCTCGAGACCAGCATGTCGCAGAGCAGATCCAGCTATTGGCACAAGAAATTGCAGCCTTGATGAAACTCCCACCCGTAAGCAAACATATTTGGGCCTGAACTGGCTGCTTGTCCCAATCTGTGAGACTGAAGAGAGTAGACATGATTTCCAGAAAGCTCTGTTTTTAATTTTAGCACCAAGGTTGCAAGAATTCACTGCACTTGATGTGACCTTAGCAGCAAGCCTATTGTTTTATGACTAGCGGAATTTTGTGTAGACTACAAAAGCGTTTAAACTGCAAAATATATGGCTCTGGTAAAGTCAGTTGAATAAATTTGTTCAGAAGCACTAGACCCGTAGCCACTTCGCACGGTCAGCGGTCAGCTCAAGATGCCAGATTCTCAAGTAAACAGCTCTTACGTTTTTCATGCATGCAGATGTTTTGTATGGCCCTGATTTGAAATGGAAGTAGGGTCATTAACAAACAACATATCTCTTTGGCACATTTACCAGCGTCAGTATTGATTTTCTTTTTTTTTTTAGGATGATTACGTCAGCATGGCTTCATGCAGAGAAAAGCTTCATGAAATCAGAAGGGTATGCTGCTTTTTTCGAGCCTCAAGCTGTGACAGTTGCTTTCACCAATACAAATTTGCATTTATGCTTCTCTCGTATACTGTCCAGTTCATAGCGGACAACACGGTTTCCCTGCTACTCCAAAGAACTGCAGAAGAGAAGTTGGAGAAGCTGAAGCGCCAGATTGATAGCATCATCAGAAAATACAACCACACTTTCGGAGAGCAAAGGGTGGGTTGGTTGCACTAGGCTTTGGCAACAAGCAATATAACAGTTGCATGTTATTTTAAAATATGCAGGTGTTGGATGAGCTGAATACTGCAGTAAAACAGTGGGAAGGAGAGCCCTTTCAGGTGGTCTGCTTGAGGCAATGCACTGATGGGACCTTAGTGACAAAGCTGGCACGAAAACTTGGTCAGCACAAGCCCAGCTTTATTGCTGTTCGCACCAGTCCCGAACGTCTCCAGGTTGACTGCTATGTGCCTGAGGTGAGCTCTGGCAGCATGGCCTTCAAGATAAGTTTTGATACTGGCAATAGACCTTATGCACTTTTTGGCGCCGCCTATCGGCACATTGTCAAAAATGCAGGGCTGCAAGCCTCAAAGATAGTGGCCTCTTCATCTGCGTTTCGACCAGATTCTGGACGAGGAGTTTCAAAATCGCGGTGACTGTTCGTTTAAAAGAAAAAAAAATTTCTCGCACGCTGAGAGTTCACGAGGTCTGTTATCAGTTACAGTCTACAATCATTAAGCGTTCGTTGAATCTCTTACTTCAAAACTGGAGAAAAGTATTTTTAAACAGAAATGAAGCTAAAGGACGCGTTCCACAAATTTTGGAGTTTATTATACAAACGCGCAGCTTCACGATTTCACCGTACAAGGTGCTAGTGTTTGGCAGGGGTACAGGAGTCAGAAGTGACATAAGCAACATAAGCCTGGTGACATGGGAAACATTTCGTATCAAGAAAAAAAAAGCCCAAAGGAGGGAATTCTTTTAGGAGATGTGTGCTAATCCGCAAATTTCATTATACAAATGCGAGTGCTGCATCAGAGGCACTCAGATTGACGGGGAACGCTTAGAGTAAGTTGGTGTGTCACTTCAATCTATACTCGTTTTCACCTCAAGAACCGCTAGCAGACGAGAAACCAGGAGGTTGTTTCATTGCTCCCTCTCTCGTTTTACCCGCCGAACGTGCTGAACTTCCCGCATGTGTTGAGGGGGCGCTGCGATCAAACAAAATGGCGCCTCCCTGAGAGCTGTAAATGCAATGGTCCATATTGGTAACTGGTCTGCCTCTTTCCCTGGAAAGGTTGGAAAGAACCCTAACTTCGATATACGTCTGGGAACAGGATTATTTAGTTTCAGACTTTTTTTTAAAATATAATTTGCACTCTAAATGCTTTCAAGCAAGTGATATTGAGCAGTTTACCCCAAGGGTATGTGTCTATGCATGACATGGTGTAGATGTATTTAGACATTTTTTTTTGTCTCGTGGAGAAATCATCTTGGTTGTAAATACGTTTGTTTTCTTTCAGGAATTCTTGTCCGACACGTTTCAGGCATGCACGTGGGCCGCTGTTGCTGAACGATATGGTTTTAGTTATAGTTATTCCTCTAGTAACCATAGTGAACCAGAAATGTACTACAAAGTAATAATATGTTGTGAGGACAACAGCATGGAAGAACTTGAAAGTGTTGCGGTTGAGTTCGCAAAAGCTCAACTTTCTGGCAGTGTGGCAAGCAGAACCTAAGGTTTTTTGATTGTTAACAAAAACACCATTAGCAGGAATGCAAACATTGTATTTTAAGCTACTGAAATGATAAACTTTCAGTAATGTTCTGGAGGGAATCAGAAATAAAGTCCAGAGCTTATTCTGAGTTGTGTCATAGTGCATGATTTATACTTATGTGCCTCAGCTAGTCTGTCACAAATATTTATAAATTGTGACATTTTTTGGGGGGCACTGCCAGCGCACGTGAAGAAAAAAAAAGGGGAAATAGTTGAGAAAAATATGTCATCTGACCAAAGGGGTAGTTCAGAATCCGAAAAACACCGCTGCACAACAGAGAAGGAAACATCCCGACATTACACCAGCCTTATGTGACACGCACGTTTCGGATAGATCTTGGAAGTTGAAGAAAAAATGCATCTTAATTCTGCGAATAAGGTCGGGGGACACAAAACTTGCAGCGTGCCCTGAGATAAAAAAAAGAAAAAAGATTGAGTGAGTTTATTTTACCATCTTTTTTAAGTAATGTTTTTTTTTAATATTTAATTTTAGTGTTTATGCATAGCCTCCTCTATACTGAGAAAGCCTGGCACATTGACGACAGAAAAACGAGAGGAGGAGCGCGCAGAGCAGAAATGGCAGAGATAGTACACTTGGGTCATGAGCGGCCGCTCCCCGAACCACGTTTTTTTTTTTTTTCTTTTTCTTTTTTTTTTTTTTTGTGTTTTCGTCAAAAGCGCGAGCCCAGCGCTTCTTTGCGTTCCTGCCTCCCACGCGCACTCTACGATACCGAAAAGAAAAGTGGTAAAAAAAAAGTTTCTGCGTTTGGCCGCTTGCTCTTCTGTGGCGCTACCTACGGTAGCAGAGTTGCGCATTCAGCCTCGGCGAGTGGTCGTAGCGCCGGCTTTCCCGCACGCCCTGGATGCTTTGCTCCTCATGTGACTAAATTTGGCGAATAGCGGCGCCGCGCGCGCCGCCGCGCGTGGAAATCAGGAGAGGAGGAAAATGAGGCGGAAAGCAGGGGAACATACCCCGGGGCGCGAGAAACGTCGGCGGGGCGACCGTAAAGGTGGCTTTCTTGCACGCCACAGGATGCTTTGCTCCTCACGTGATGGATCTCGGCAAATAGCGGCGTGGCGGCGCGGGGAAAACAAATGCGCAACTCTGGCTCCCGTAGGGAGCCTATACAGGAACTCTGATCTACCCCTTGGCCAGTGGGTGTGGCGACGAAGGCGACGGAGAGGAGAAAAGTAAATGAAAGGGAGGAGAGCGCCGAAGGAGCGAGAGAGAAAGAAGGGAGCAGAGAGGAAACGACCGCCATTTTTTAGCAACGCTGTCGGAGGCTGGTCGGAGAAGAGCACTGCTGAGGCTACGCGTCGTCTGCTACGGGCCGACTTCTTTTTCGCCTGAATAAAAGTTTGTGGCCATACGCCGAAAAATCTTCATTTATTAGCTTTTTAACCCACCGAGGAATAACAGAATGTCATTTTCTTGCCAGAGCCAGCGATATAAAAGGCAATAATCGAGATTTAGATGCCGATCCCACGCATTCCACCGGGAGAATGATCGAAGATGGCGGCCCTCCCCACTCAGGTGGGAGCAGCCGGGAGTTCACGCGCATGCGCTCATGCCTCTCGCTCTAAGCCGCGTGCTGATTGGCTCACTTGGAAGGAGAGCGTTACGGCGGCGAGATCATAGACTGACGAAACTCTCCCCATATACGGCTCTGATCCCCCCTAACGTCCCTGGAAAACATCGAGGGACTTTAATCTCCCCTCCTCTCATTCCCCGCCCCTCCTTTCCCATTTTCGGCGGCCGCCTCTTTTCGCGATGTGCCAGGCTCTCTCAGGCTATGATGGTTCATGGGACAGTGTGCGACAGCACGAGTACATTCATATACAGCAACTGTAATCATGGAAATCAAACCGCTCTGCTAGCTGATTACCTAGAGGTCACTGCTGGGCGTTTTCAGATGAGATTGAACAACCATGTCCGGTGACCATTTTTAATTTTGATGAAAAAAATATATTTTGCTGGCTTTATGCCCTTTTTTATAAAAAAAAAAAAATTGTCTGCGAAAAAAAAAAAAAAAAGAATTTAGCGCCCTCAGTCACGTGCGGGTTTCGCGTATTGCGCGATGTTGACGTTTCGGGCGGCTTCCTCCAAAAAACTGTTCTGGCTACGGGTCTCGAAATATTCACTGACAAATTAGGCGTAGCAAATATTGACAAAAATTATTAATCACCGAGTATTAGGGTAGTTATTAAAAAAAAAAAAAAATCGCAAACACGGCACTTTGCACAATAACGCTCTGGATTGAAGAATATTTTTCTCCGTATCTATAAAAGCTGAGGTCTTCAAACTTTGCCAGTGTGTTGCCCTGTATATAGTTAATCTTTGCGTGACATATTGTTGTCCTGGTTAGCGGGAGAAATTTACGAGAATTGCTCACACGGGCATTTAACTAAAAATGCATTATTTTGAAAATCATTAAAAAAAAGGCTACCTTTAGTATTTTTTAAACTCTGAAATTAATGTTTATAATATGTACTAACAGAGTTTGCAAAAACATGATATGCAATATTTGTGCTGCTTTTAAGTTATAAGGCGGGAAACATGGCCAAATTGACGCTAACGCGGTTGCCATAAATGGGGCGTGCACATACCCGCTCTTCACAATTTCATTATTATTAAAAAAGCGTAAAAATGCTACAGGGTGGTCAGGAAAAGACAAATTGGCAGCACAGAGGTGGACGGTAGTTTTGAAGGAAAAATTCCTAATACATTTTCTTACAACCGACCCAATAGACAATTGCAAGCATGGCGCCACAAGTGGTGCCCCATGCGTGCAAGCGCGTGCAACGCGCGAGTGAACGTAGCTTTGGCAAGCTCGTAATCGCACGGGCGTGCCTGCTCGAGCAGAGACATGGCGGCGGCCAGTCGCCCAGCTTGCAATCGTCTATACTGCCCATGGGCCGGAGTGATCGAGGTGCACCACCAGCTGTAAGATGCTTCGCGGTGCCTGTTTCAACAGCCTGCGTATAACGTCTCCGTCTACGTGACGTAAAGGAAGCAACGGGAGCGACTTTGCAAACAGATCAGCCTACAATCTTGGCGGTAGCACGATATAAAAAGTAGGGCGCGACAGAACCTGAACCTGCGCCGCCTGTGAGCGTCAATAGATTTGTCGCCATGAAGGGCCGCACAACGCGTAGAAAATAAAGATACATAAATAAGAATTCCGATTGGATGAGATTGTCTCTAACTTAATTTATAAGACAACGGTTAGGAGAATCGTGAAATCCAATTTGGGTATGCTCATGTGACCTACGTAAGTGATGGTGCAGCAAGCCACTTTAAGAACAAGTACCAACCACACGAGCTGCAGAGCCACAAATACACGTCAGCGAGGTGTATTTTTTCCGCAGCTTGACATGGCAAGAGTGCCTATGATTGAATCGGGGGTCGTGTCAAGCACCAGGCAACGTTGTACAACCTCCGACGGCCCACCAAGTCGGTGATCGAGTCGGCGTCAGAGATGGTTGCCCCACTGAACACTAAACCAACTAAACTGCCAAACGTGAAACTAATCCACCTCCCGAAAGCTGACGTCAATGTGTTCAGGGACTTGAAAGCAAAGGACTGGGACTCTATGTTTCCGTTGTGCATGGAATTCAATCCTGTCACTTGTGGCAGTGTACGCGGTCCGACACTCCGCAACCACAGCTGTTTTAGCAAGAACAGTAGCCGCTGAAAAGATATATCTTTAAAAGTAGTCTCCTAAGGCTGCGAAAAGCAGATCGAGGTCGCGAGCTCGCGGTGCCACTGAGAAGAAACGAACAGTAATCGCTACAAACAAAACGAAAAAAAAAAAAAAAAGTTTCTTCTCGGAGTGTTAGGATTCAACTTAGGAGAGCGCCGTGACCGACTCAGGCCAGCGTCCGGCTGAAAGAATTCACGAGACAAGCTACGAATGTGCGCACAAGATCTTGATTAATAACATGTGTTCTTTCTTATCAGCATTTAAACCTGGTCGTCAGCAGCCCAGCCTCCCCACGAAGGGTAGACTCCGAAATTCACTGATCTGAGAAATCTGTATTTAAATTGTTGACTTGTGCTTCAAACTCACTTGTAACCTTTTGTATGAATTCTTATTTTTTACGAACTCCTGTCACAGTGCTTTCTCTTCACAGACTTCCAACATTTTTCGACCCTCTAGCTGCTTGCCCTTGTTTGAAATCGGCAACGTCCTATCTTTCTCTACTCCCGTTACGGCAAATCTGTGTATTTAAAACCCTGAATATATATATATATATATATATATATATATATATTGAAAAGCATTTTTGAAGAGCTTGATAGGACAGATTATGAGCCGTGGTCTTTTAAAAGTAGAAGAAAAATTACGATGGCCTACATTTTAAACTGATTTTCTAATTATTGCAGAATCGGTAACCTGTCTACATTTCAGTGTATTTTTTTTTTTTTTTTTCAGAAAGGTTATTGCTTCCAGTTTGAATGACAATTTATGAGAATATAGAACAGACGCGTCTAAATCATTTTAAAAACTGAATTTCCAGTATTTTAAGATCCGGATCCCTAAAGATCTGAATTGCTTCGTAATCGATAATGCATGTTTACCTCCTTTTATTTTATGTAAAGTCGCTGCACAAAAAAAAAAAAAAAAAAAAAAAAAAAAAAAACCTAATACAACAACAGTTTTTCTTTAATAAATATCCAAAAAGACAGTTTCACGCAAGTCGCAAAAACGTGATCGTATACCGACAGCGACTTTGCGATTTTGGTTTCCTCAAGAGAAATTTTATTTTCCGCAAAAAAAGTTTGAATATGTTTTTGCGCTGCACAACAATAAAAAAAAAATATATATATATATTTTGGTAAAAAAAAAAAAAAAAAAATGTCGGCCTGACATGGTCGTTTGATCCTATCTGAAAACGCCCATTACATACAACCTCAGGCCGTCCGATTTTTTTTTTTAAGTATATTTTATTTTTTACGCGGTTTGCGGCCCTCCACAGCGGCGGATCTACTGGCGCTCGCAGGCGGCGCAGGTTCAGGTTCTGCCGCGACCGCCAAGGTTGGAGGCTCATCCATAGAGTAATATAGTAAACGTAAAGAGAGGACACA